ACAGTAAACAAATCTCAACTTATTTACTCCGATGAGAGCCACACAGGTGATCTTTGGGATGCCACAGCATCTGGGTGTGATCATTTTTGTCTATATAGAAAGCTAACCTTAAAATGGCACTCCCCTCCCCCCACCAAAAAAACCCCCAAAAACCCACAAGTGCTAACTTGGCTGACTTCTGTTGCCATGGTAACCTGGAGCAGCCTGACTCTGGTATGCTTCCCTACCAGCCCTGGTGCCAATGCCCACTTGCCACCTGCCAGAACCCCACTGGGTTTTCCCAGGCTTGGTGTCCATCTGGCCTTCCCAGCTTGGAGAGCTGTGTGGTCCAAGTCGCTGGCTCCTAGGAGTCAGGCTGAGGGTGACCTCACCTGTTCCCCTACCAAGAAGGCAGTGCCTGCATCAAGTATGGGAACCCGCAGCGAAGGGGCAGACCTGTGGGCTGGGGAGGTTTGTCGGGGTTCCCAGTGGCCACTGCTTCCCGTTGTCTGTCTGCCTGTGACCACACAAGCCAATGACCGAGTGGAAGCAGGGGGGTGTGACAGCATGAGACCTGGAGAGCCTGATGAGCTGTGATATTTTGAGGCCAGCAGATATTCCTCAGTTCTCTGTCCTCTGCATCGGTTTGTCCTTATCCTGCAGGACAGAGCAAGCCAGCCCTGCGGCGGTCAAGCCCTGGAATGTGTGTCTAGGCATACGTCTAGGCAGGGGTGAGCAGCATCTTGTCTGCTCTGGCTCTGTGCCAAGGCTGGGCACATGCAGGGGGTAGGACCATCCTTCTGGGACAGGGGACAGGTGGACTTCAGGTGAGGAATTCCCAGGCTGCACTGGGCCACGGGGGCACTTCCCCCAGCTCTGGGATACAAGTGGCTACTAGGATGTTTTTTTGGGACATATTGGGTAGGAGTCCTGCCCTATACATCCCTGGAGGAGTGTTTGGGGAGGACCCTAGGTCCTACACAGCCTGAGTCCTCTGAGCCTTCAGGGTCACTCCAGTTCCGCTGCCACCCGGGCAGGCCACGCCCTGGCCCTGTAGAGATAGTGTTCCTGTCTCACGTTCCACTCCCAAGGAAAGGTGTGCATTCGTCGTTTGGGTCAGGTGTCTGGCTCTAGTTCAGTGAACTCATTGTCAGGAGATCTTGTTGATGGAGCAGTATTCACTGCAGCTGTGGCTTGGAGAGGGGAGTTTTCTGGAAAACTGTTCACAGACCACCCCCTCTGGACCCTGCTTCACATGAGCCAGTCACTATAGTTGGATGGAGGTATAGCAAATGTGTGTGTATGTCCTGTATTCCCAAGAGACAATGGGAAATGTGAGATGGCAGAAATAAAAAGATTAGCTGGGGGCTGGGAAGATGGCTCAGTGGTAGAGCGCTTGCCTTGCATGCCTCTGAGGCCCTGGGTTCGATTCCTTAGCACCACATAAGCAAAAAGAAAAAAGCTGGAAGTGGCACTGTGACTCAAGGGGTAGAGCGTTAGCCTTGAGCTGAAGAGCTGAAGGACAGCGCCCAGGCCCAGAGTTCAGGCCCCACGACCGGACTAAAAAAAAAATAAAAATAAAAAAAGATTAGCTGGGCGCTGGTGGCTCACACCTGTCATCCTAGCTACTCAGGAGGCTGAGAGCTGAGGATCACAGTTCCAAGCCAGCCAGGGCAGACAAATCTGACTTCAATTAACCAGCAAAAATCTGAAAGTGGAGATGTAGCTCAAGAGATAGAGTACCAGTCTTGAGTAAAAAAGCAAGAATGTGAGGCCTTGAGTTCAAGTGCCAGTACCAACACACACAATAAAATAAGCTGGATACTCAATGTGTTGGAAATGATCTGTACAACCTGAGGGAAGGAGAGATGGGGAGGGAAAGGGAGAAAAATGAGAGAAGGGGTAACAGGTTAGACAAGAAATGTAATCACGGGGCTGGGAAGTTGGCTCAGTGGTGGAGCTCTTGCCTTGCATGCCTGAGGCCCTGGGTTCAATTCCTTAGCACCACATAAGCAGAAAAAGCCAGAAGTGGTGCTGTGGCTCAAGTGGTAGAGCACTAGCCTTGACCTGAAGAGCTGAGGGACAGTGCTCAGGCCCAGAGTTCAGGCCCCACGACCAGACCACAAAAAAAAAAAAAGAAATGTGATCACTACTTTACTGTAATTGTAACCCCTCTGTACATCATCTTGACAATAAAAATTTTAAAAATAAAAATCAGCTGGGTACCTGTGGCTCATGCCTAACAAGCCGAGCTAGCTGTGAGTCAAGTGGTAGAGCACTAGCCTTGAGAAAAAAAACCTTAGAAACAGTGCCCAGGCCCTGAGTTCAAGCCCCAAGACTGGCACAAAAGAAAAAGAATTAACTTTGAAGCCTGCCACACGTCCTATGATTTGGACAAAGAAGAGGATGGCGACATGAACTGTACATGCTAAGAAGAGGAGACTGGTGTACTAACATCTCTCCTGTGGGCCCCTTCACCAGCCTCAGGCTGTGTACGGCCACAGGAGGCGTGGTGGGCGTGGAATGTGGGTGCTGGAGACACTCTGTCATTGTAGGGAGATAGGAAGTAGGTGCCAGCTTGCGCTCAGTGTGAGATGTTAAAATAAGAAAATCATCCAAACCTGGGGCTGAGTCAGGAAGAATTAAACTGTGCCTTACAAACTCATGCTCTATTTTTACTCTGAGAAATGTTCTTTACCAAATTTGAAGGTGAGAACAAAATCCTTCCCACTGAATAAAATATCAGTAAATACTAGACAAGCTCTATGCCCCTGACTACACGAGGCTGCTGGGTGTGTGATCTGGACCTAAAATTGGCTTCTTGCTCAGTTTACTTGTTGAACACCAAATCTAGTTTTCCAAACTGTAAATGTAAGTATTTGGCAGTGTTTGTTTACAGAGGAGACAGGACTGATCTGTGGTAAGTTGTATTCTTTATATAATGTGATGAATTGTCTTATGTCAGGGTCCCTGAATCCTTCACATGGTCAGTCTTGTGACTGTACTGGTAACTGCCAAGGACTTCCTCCTGCCCAGCAAATCCCACCCTCTCCCCTCCTGCAACCCCAGTGACCTGTGGTCTATCTTCTGTCACTATAGGTGAGTTTGCATATATATTTTATTTTTTTTTGTCAGTCATGGGGCCTGAACTCTGGGCCTGGGCGCTGTCCCTCAGCTCTTCAGCTCAAGGCTAGCACTCTACCACTTGAGCCACAGCGCCACTTCCGGCTTTTTTCTTTTTGCTTATGTGGTGCTGAGGAATCGAACCCAGGGCCACAGGCATGCAAGGCAAGCGCTCTACCACTGAGCCACCTTCCTAGCCCATATATACTTCGAGTGAGAGTCTTGCTACTTAGCCCAGGCTGGCCTTAACCTTTTTTTTTTTTTTTTTGGTCTGTTGTGGGGCTGGAACTCGGGGCCTAAACAGGGTCTCTACTTTGAGCCAGTACCACCTATGGTTTTGAGTAGTTAATTGGAGAGGAGTCTCTCCAGGACTTCCCTGCCCGGGATGGCTTTGAACCGTGATCCTCCGATCGCGGCCTCCAGAGTAGCTGACAGGCGTGAGCCGCCCGCGGACGGAGGCCGAACTGGTTTGCTCACATTTTTACTTATTTAGTCGAATGTAAGCCTCTGTAGCCAGGCTCGAAATCCTCACAGGCTGAGATGCGAGGATCCTGGTTCGAAGCCAGACTGGATCAGCACGCAAGGACGGCGCAAGGAGGCGGCGGCGGGAGGGGCTGACGCCCAGCGTGGCCAGAAGCGTCCGGCCGTCCTGCGCCGCCGCCCGGCTCCCCGGGGCCGGCCCTGCAAGCCAGGCGGGCGAGGGGCGCGAGGCGAGGCCGCCCGCCGCCCCAGGCTGGCCCCGGCCCCGCGGGCTCCTCCTCACCGAGACTCGGCCTGGGGGACGCGGGTGCGGGGAGCTTCCTGCACGCCCAGCTGCAGCCGGCCGGTCCGCGCCGAGCCCGGCGCGGGGCCTCGGCGTCCCGGCACACGCGCCGAACCCGGGGCGCGGACGTGCCCGGCGCGGGGCCTCGGCGTCCCGGCACACGCGCCGAGCCCGGGGCGCGGACGTGCCCGGCGCGGGGCCTCGGGGTCCGGCACACGCGCCGAGCCCGGGGCGCGGACGTGCCCGGCGCGGGGCCTCGGGGTCCGGCACACGCGCCGAGCCCGGGGCGCGGACGTGCCCGGCGCGGGGCCTCGGGGTCCGGCACACGCGCCGAGCCCGGGGCGCGGACGTGCCCGGCGCGAGGCCTCGGCGTCCCCGCAGACGCTCCGCTCCGGCCGCGGCGCGCGACGCCGGCGCCGGCTGTTATAGCAGCCCGAGGGGGCGTGGCCTGCGGCGGCGCGGCGCGGTGACGTCAGACGCGGCGAAGGGCCGGCCCGCGCCTGCGACCCTCGCTCGGTCCCTCAGCGCCGGAGCTCCGGTGTCGCCCTCGCCCGCTGGCCCGGCTCCCGCCGCTCGCTCCCCCGGCCTTCGCCCGCCCCGGGCCGCGCCGCTGCCATGGGCCCGCGCCCGCCGCGCCGCCGGGCCGGGGGCCGCTGAAGCGTGGCGCAAAGATGGGCGAGGGCGGAGCAGGGCCCGAGCGCCAGCCCGAGCAGCCCGGGCGCCCCGCGCGCGCCCGCCCGCGCCGCCGCGGGGATGCCCGCGCCCGCCGCCGCGCCCTGAGCGCCTTTGTCTGCCGCCCGCGCCGCCCGCCGTCCCCCTAGCTCGGCCGGCGCCGGAGCATGGAGCCGGGCCCGCCGGACTCCCCGTCGGGCCGCGGCGAGCCGGCGCCCGGGGCCCAGCCTGCGGCCGCAGACCTCGAGACGCCCGCCGCGCCGCGCCGCCGGCCGGGGGAGCCCGCGGAGCCCGCCGCGCCGCCCGCCTGGCCGGAGGACCCGGTTGGGCTGCTGCGCTGGCCCGGGGAGCCCGACCCTGCCGCGCCGCGCCGCCGGCCGGGGGAGCGGGACGCGCCGTGCGGCGGGCCCGCGGCCGGGCCGCGCTCCGGGGCCCCGGGCGCGCCGTGCGGGAGCGCCCGCCCGCCCTCGCCGCCGGGCCGCGGGCCGGCCGCGGGCCCGGAGGACGGCGCTCGCCTGCGCGCGGTGTTCGACGCCCTGGACCGAGATGGGGACGGCTTCGTCCGCATGGAGGACTTCATCCAGTTCGCCACCGTCTACGGGGCGGAGCAGGTGACGGCGGGCGGCGGGCGGGCGCCCCTCCGCCGGGGCCGGGCGCGTCCTTCCCGCGGGCCGCGCCCGCCGCAGGCCGGAGGCGCCGGGCCTGAGCACTGCCCCCGGCGGTGCCGGCCTGGCATGGGTGGTGCCGGATCCCGCTTGCGGAGGTCCCGGTTCGCACCTGCGACCGGCAGCGGGGCTGCGGGGGCCTGGCCCCGGGCTCACAGCTCAGGCGGAGGTGACGGCGGCCTGTGTGTGGGTCTGGGCGTCACCGACAGCACACACGTTGCAAGGTGCACTGTCAGATAATTTATTTAAAATAAATAAAAGCCAGTTACTTAGCAGCAGGGAATCCCTGACGTGCTGATCTGCTCATTTTCATTTGCTATTCATTTTTCACACATACACACATTTGTTAAGTGGGTGTTCAAGTACATGGGCATGTTTGAGGCAAGAGGACTTTAAGAATTAAGCTGGGGGAAATGCCTGTGGTTCCCAGTACTGAGGAGGCCCAGGCAGGCGAACTGCAAGTTTCTATTTTGGCAAAATAGAAAAAAGAAAGAAGAGAATGAGGTAAAACGACATACTGCTAGTTATAATGTCAGGACTTCAAGAACTCTCACAGGACCCATGTACCTTTTTTTTTTTTTTTTGCTATGTATTCTTTTTTTTGGTTACATAGTTTCCCAAATTTAATAGTATTGTGGGATAGTGATGCTCAGTTAAAGTCACAAACACATTCTAACTTTCCTGGAGCAAATTGTCTATCATGGTCTATAACATTTATGAATTCTATGAGCTTTGCAATAGTTATTTTTTCCACATTGGGTGATGTGTACATTTCTTTTGTTTTGCATAGCATCAGCTGTTCCCTCTTTCCCACTTGTTCCCTCCCTTCCATCACTGCCGTTGAGTTGCTTAGGTCATTTTGGTCAATGTCCAGTGCAGCCGATGGGTCCCGCTGTTGTATGTTTTCCCTGATTCCCTCTAGTTCGGTGTCGTCTTCCCGGTTTCCCTCCGGTGTGCACATATATACCATACATGTGATCAGCAGCATGGGGTTATTTAGTAGTGATTCGACCAGATGAGTAGAAGTCCTTTGTTTCTTAAGTCCTGTTAATTTTGTCACATCACCTAGTATTTTGGATTTAACATCTACTTATCAGGGAGACCATGTACCGTTTGTCTCTTTGCTCTTGGCTTACCTCACTCAACATTTCTTCTAGCTCCATCCATTTCCCTGCAATGCCATTATTTTGCCATTTCTAATGGCTGCGTAATATTCCACTGTGTATAGATACCACAATTTTTGGATCCATTCGTCTGTGGTGGGACATCTAGGTTGTTTCCATATCTTGGCTATTGTGAACAGTGCTGCAGTAAACAGACCCATGTACTGAGTGTTTAACACCTTGAGCAGTTGGGTTCTAAGCACTGAAGGCTCCCTGGAATTTATGTCCAAGAGGATGTACAGGTGCTTGCAGCTCCCTAGACTACAGATTCAGGTTTTTTGTTTTATCAGTTGGGGGCTTGAACAGGGTCTGGGTGCTGTCCCGAGCTCTTTCACTCAAGGCTAGCCCTCTATCACTTGGAGCCCCAGCACACAGGTGTTTAGTTTTTTTTAGGAACCTCCCTGCCTCCTGGAGCTTAAACTCTGGGCCTGTATGGTATCCCTGAGCTTCTTTTGCTCAAGGGTAGCACTCTACCACTTGGAGCCATGGCACCACTTCCAGCTTTTTTCTGAGTAGTTTATTGGAGATAAGAAGTCTCATGGGGGCTGGGAAGGTGGCTCAGTGGTAGAGCGCTTGCCTTGCATGCCTGAGGCCCTGGGTTCGATTCCTCAGTACCACATAAGCAAAAAGAAAAAAGCCAGAAGTGGCTCCATGGCTCAAGTGGTAGAGCGCTAGCCTTGAGCTGAAGAGCTGAGGGACAGCACCCAGGCCCAGAGTTCAGGCCCCACAACCGGACCCCAAAAAAACCCAAACAAAAAAACAAGTCTCATGGATATTTCTTGCCCAGGCTGGCTTCAAACCATAATCCTCAGATCTCAGCCTCCAGGGTAGCCCCTGGCACCTAGCCAGTCTGGCTTTTTATTGGTTAATTGGAGGTAAAAGTCTATTGGATTTTTCTGTACAGGCTGGTTTTGAACCAAGATTCTCAGATCTCAGCCTCTGGAGTCGCTAGGATTATAGGCATTAGCCACTGGTGCTTGACTTGAGGGTCCTTGGTGGTCCTTTACTATATGTTTTCAAACTTAGAAGTGTCTCCTTACCCTTGTCGGACCTGTCAGGCCAGTACTGCATTTGTTTTTCTTTATCATCACCTGATTCTGCTCATTATACTTTCATTGATCATTGCCCCTGTTCTATCTGTAACTAGGCTTACAGGATTAATCTCCATTTACAGTTAAGGAGTTGGAAACTCAGAAAGGTCAAATAGCTTTCCAAATGCCCTACATATCTAAAACAGAAATCTAGGTGCTTGGCTCTTCATCTATAGAAGACTGTAGGTGTTGTTGCTCAGAATATATCTGCCAGGTTTCAACTTAAAAATTCTTTTCATTTAGCCGGCATCATGCCTCACACCTGTTACCTTAGCTACTCAGGAGTCTGAGATCTGGGGATTGCAGTTCGAAGCCAGCCTGGGCAGAAAACTCCATGAGACTCTTATCTCCAATAAACTACTCAGAAAAAGCCGGAAGTGAGCTAGGAATGTGGCCTACTGGTAGAGTGCTTGCCTAGCACACATGAAGCCCTGATTTCCATTCCTCAGTACCACATAAGCAGAAAAAGCCAGAAGTGGTGCTGTGGCTCAAGTGGTGGAGTACTAGCCTTGAGCAAAAGAAGCTCTGGGACAGCGCCCAGTTCCTGAGTTCAAACTCCAAGACTGGCGCAAAACAAAAAACAAACTATTAATTTGAGAAACATCTTTTGTCATAATCTCCAGTTGATTATGGTGGGAAAAACTTTTGGACTGCTATTTGGGCTAAGTGTTCTTGTAATTACAAAGTAGAAATGGGTTAGACTTCTTTGCTCTGACAGCTGCTGGTAGAATTGGGGAGAGGCCTAGATGACTCAGGACTAGAGGGGGCTGGAGATGGAGAGTGGAGGGTAATCTCCTGGGTCATGGTTCTTGCCTGTCCTTAGGAAAAAGCAGTGTTACGTAGCTGGCTTGGACTAGCTTTCTGGGACTGTGGAGGAGAGCTTTTGATTTCTTTGAGCTGTCTTAGTTACTATTTTGGAGTAGGTAATTTAAGGGATAATGAAAGGTTGGTTGTTAAGTCTGTGTAAGCTTTGGTAGTCTTTATTATGACTCAGGCTTGTTGTTTTCCAGTTCCGTGTCAGAATACATTTTGGAGAAGCAAAGGCAATAAATATTTGCTAATAGTGGAGTATTGAGAGGTAAACATTTTGGAACTTTGCCAGTGCTTGAACTTAGGGCCTAATACGCTCAGCTTTCTTGCTCAAGGCTGGTGCTCCACTACTTGAGTCGCATCTTCAGTTGGCTTTTTGCTGGTTAATTAGAGATGGAGTTCTGAAAACTTTTCTGCTTGGGTTGGCTTTAAATCTCAATTCTCCAGATCTCAGCCTACATAGTAACTAGGATTATAGACCTGACACACCAGCACCAAAAACATTTTGTGCTGGTTCTGGGACTTGAACTCAGGGTCTAGATGGTGTCCCTGAGCTTTTTTGCTCATGCTTAGCACTTTTATCACTTGGAGGAGGAGTCTCAAGGACTTTCCTGCCTGGGCTGGCTTTGAACCCATGATCCTCAGATCTCAGCCTCTTGAGTAGCTAGGATTACAAGTGTGAGTTTCCAGTGCCCAGTTTATTTATCTTCTTATTATTTTGCCAGTCCTGGAGCTTGAACTCAGGGCCTGGGCACCACTGTTCCTGAGCTGCTTTGGCTCAAGGCTAGCATTCTACCACTTGAGCCACTGACGGCCTTTTCTGTGTATGTGGTGCTGAGGAATGGAACCCAGGGCTTCATGCATGCTAGGCAAGCACTCTACCACCGAGCCACCTTCCCAGCCTTCTCTTTTTTTAATTAATTAATTTTATTTATTTATTTTGAAGCACGGTCTTAACTGTGTAGCTAGGCTTAAGTATTACTCACATATTCCAGTCTTACAGTCTCGTCTCACCCGTCCAGGTGGTAGGATTGTAGGCATATCCAGTCAAACCTGGGGCCTCTGTAAAGCAGATTTTTGACATTATATCATTTCATCTGTAAATGGTCTCGCGTATATCCTTAACAGCGGGGGAGACTATAGGATTTTCTTCTTTCCAGCTTGAGATTTCAACATCCTGATTACATTACAGATCAGTCATATTACTGTTATGGTGATAGGAACTAGATTATCTTCACTTTTGTCAGATTTTTAACTTTAATTTTTAAAATCTTTATTTTTATGCAGTACTAGGGCTTGAAGTTAGAAGTTAGGGCCTGGGCTCTGTCCCTGAACTTTTTCAGCTCAAGGTTTGTGCTGTACTACTTGAACATAGCTTCACTTCCAGAATTTTAGTGGTTAATTGGAAATAAAAATCTTTCTGCCAATTTTGAGCTTTTGTGCTCCAGCTAGTGTTCTACCAGTTAAGCCACAGCTCCATTCCAGCTTTTTGGTGGTTAATTTGAGGAAAAAGTCTCAAGGACTTTCATGGCTTCCAATCTCGATCCTTGGCTCTCAACCTCTTGAGTAGCTAGGATTATAGGAGTAAGCCATTCTGCTCAGCTGATCTTTGTGTGATTTTAAAAGGTAGCTTGCTAGTATCTTTTATGTTACCTGTTTATGAAGGTAGCATTTTAAATTATTTAAGTGGATTATCTGAATTTTTAATAGGAGCAGCTCCCATTTATAATACAGAGGGCCATTGTGTCCTTTCTTTCACAGTGCCAGCATCGTGATGGTGTGTGGTTCTCATTACCTCATGAGTGGCAGATCAGGGGTAGTATCATGTATGCCATTGTAATGGTCACAGGAAAGGAAGAACCAGCCAGACTGAAGATTTCTG